GCGCTCAAAATGTGATTCAAGCGACTTAAGCTCTTGTTGGAGGTGAAACATATCACGGCTTTCCATGGCACCATCCGAGACACGTGCATGTATGCGCTTTATTGCTWTYACCGYCGATGATCGCCAATTAAGTTCCGCCATGAAACCACACAACCGCAATAACAAATAATTACAAAATAAATTTAAAAATATTTGTCCTCACAGGAGGCACCTAAATGTTAAATAATTAATTTTACCAGCGGGTAGAGTTCTCAATGCTTTATTGATATGAGTACCATCAGCACTGAGTTACAATCAGAGTAGAAGACGTTGTACCTACTTGTCCTCCGGTATTTATAGGAGTACAAAGTAATTTAAAATACCGTAACTTCGAAATATTAACAAACTATGAGAAATAGAAAGCTTAGATAAAACAGTATTGGCAGATCAGACTTAACATTATTTAGAAAATAAACTTAATTAATGTAAATAATCCTAAACATACATACTATATGTAAAATGTATAAAGTGTGGAAAAAGTTTTCACACCTCAACTTAAAAAATGTTAGAAAGTATTTTTTATTATAATTAATGTAGAAAAAATAATCACGCAAAAAAACAAACAAAGAAAAATCGTTAAGAATCCTACATATTTGGTGTTTAAGATGTGGCAACGCTCGCTTTCCTCACAATTGTAAACAATCTAACCTTTACAACGCCGAGTTCGCTAAGTGATTTTTAAATTTAGGTGAAATATTACAAAATAAAATTGAAATGTGAACTTATTTCAATGTTTAGAGTGTATATTTAAATATACAGAGTGAAAAACGTGAATAAATTTAATGGAAGATAGAGAAATAGCTTGTGTTATTAGTGCATATTTTTGAACTTTTAATCGTAAATTTTTTTAAAAATATAAGTAATTTTTATATTATTTTTGGATATTCCTCCAGGGAATGTTTAGTATCGCGCCGGTTAAGTATCGTTTATGGAGAAAAACAGGGTCGGGCTATCCCCCCTCCCGACCCCTTATTGGAAAGAGGAAGGATCGAACTTTTTAATAAACCCCGCCCCCTCGATCCCCTAGATCCCCTATGGACCTGTAGGGAGGCCTTTGAAAATGACCAAAAATCAGTGTTTTTGCTCATTTTTCCATACAAACTGAAACCAATACAACCCAGCCAACATTTTTGTATGGACAAGAAATCAAAATAAAGAAAGCCAAAATGTTTCAGTG